GAATCCAGAATCCAAGACTCTTCCCTATCTGGGGGGGGGGGGTGTCCCCCTGCTCGGTCCCCCATTAGTATAGATATGGGGAGGGGGTCTTGGTTGGGGAGTCCTGGGTGGGGGAGAATCTTAACCCAGAATTTGAGTGTCTTCCCTGGTGGGGGGGGTCCCCCTGCCTGCTCCCCCATTAGTTTAGATATATGGGGGGGGGGGTGTCCCTTGGTGAGGGAGAATCTAAAGCCAGAATCTGGGGGTCTTCCCTATTGGTGGGGTTCCCCGCCTGCTTTCCCATTAATTTAGATATAAGGGGGGGGGGTCTTGGTTTGGGGAGGGGTCCTTGGGCCTCCCCCCCCAGAATGCTCCCCCCATCAGACTTCCTTGCAACAGGGGGTGTCCCTCTTCCCCCCCCCCCCTGTTGGGGGGGGGGCCCCCCCCCCCAGCCCGGCCTGCCAAGGACCCACCCACCCCCACCCCATTCTGGTGGGGGGAGGGGCGAATGTAGCGCAGCTAGAGGGCGCCAGGTTGGGGAAGGAGCACCGAAATGGGGGAGGGGAGTCGAGGGAAGGCCCACCCCAAAGGAGCCTCGCTTCAATGGGCGGGGGGGGGAGAGGCTTTGGCGGGAGCAGCGCCCCCCATTCAAGGAACCCCCCCCTCTTTTTTTCCTCCTCTGCCCCCCCCCTCCCTTCCCGGAGGCTACAGAGGCGGGGAGGGGAGGGGGGAGCGCCCGCCACTCCATTCATCGCTGCCCCTCCTCCAAAGGGGTTGCAGGAGGGTCCCCCTCCCCCTTGCCCGGCTCTCTCTTCCCCACTCCCCGGCTTCTCGGACTGTTCCCGCCTCGCCGTTACCTGACCAGCCGCCGGGCGCCCCGCCGTCCACCCGCCTCACCGGCCTCACACAGACAATATGGCGGCGGCACAAGGCTCGGCCGCCACCGCAGGGCCCAAAGCGAGGCTGGCCGGAAGCGGAAGCTGCTCGCTTCGGTCCTCCGCCTTTCCTCGGCCTCCCCCCCCCGGCCTCTCTTGCCCTCGTGCCTCTATGCCCCTCGCCTTCCGCGCGAATGCTGGGAGATGGAGTTGGTTGAGAGGCACGGCCTGCCTTATTCCCCCTCTCCCCCCAATTTCTCTCTCTCTCTCTCTCTCTCT